CTTTGTTTCCTGTAATTACCCGGAGTCCAACTTGTTTGCTACCAAGTGTTCCATTTTCACCAGCATATCTCTGAGTCAACATCCTCCTCCTGTTAATTCTCTCCTCCATCAGCTCTCTTTCAGTGCGTGCTGGCTATGCGGATTGGGCCTCCCCGCCATCGGTGCCCATCCATCCGGTGCTGAACGACTGCAGTCGATGCCGGCCATCTCGACCCTCTTCCGCTTGGGTTCTTCGATGCGAATCACACCATGGCACCTCCATACTCCAGTTCCCAGGCCGCCTTGACCGGCTATACTCCCTCATTCCTGTCGCTACAGGACCAGAACGCTCCTCTCTCCGCCTACTCCATCCTAGGATCCGGTCAATATCCCGATAGTGTCGCATACTGGCACAATCCATCCGCGCAACCCCAGCCGCCGCTACCTCCCGCCGCCGTCGCCGCCTCCTATCCGTCCGTGCCCCCGAAGGCCCAGTCGCTCCTCCAGCCCACCTCCGATCAGAAGAAGCATAAGCGTACTCGCAGTGGCTGTTTCACCTGTCGATCCCGTCGCATCAAGTGCGACGAAGCACGTCCCGTCTGCGACAGATGTCGGAAGGGCAACCGCGACTGCGTCTATCCGTCAGCCACAGGTGCATCCAAGTCAGGAACCCGTAGCGTGTCCAAGCCCAGAGGATCACTGTTGCGTGGAAATGAGTCTTCCGCTCACCCGGGATCCGAGGACTTCCGCGTCTTGGAGCCCATCGCCGACGAGGATGAGGATGGAACTAGTGTCGTGTCAAGTACCCGACTGTCCCCAACAGCCGCACCCACATGGTCTAAACCCAACCTCCCCAGACGACAAAGTGGTCAGTCTTTGAAGCAGCAGGGTGGGAGGCATGTTGTTGCGACCGACTTGGGTGGTGCACGGATTGAGAATAGTAACTCGCCGTCCCCGTCCTCGGATACGTCATCTAGATACGACTCGCTAAGCGCTCGGTCGGCCAGTGTCGGTGTCACCCTGCCCGAACCATATGGATCCACTCTGCCCAGTATAGCACATCTGCCGGACGACCTGCGATTTTATCTCAACTACCACCAAGAATTCATCACGTACCGTCATTATTTCTTAAAACCGGTCAATGACCGGTTTGTCCATCAAAGTATCATTGAGCTGGCGTTGCAGTATGATCCCCTGCTGTATGCCGTGGTGGGCTTTTCTGCATATCATCATTGTGTTCAAAACAACAGTGGGAAACTATACACCTTTTTGAAATATTACAACTTCGCGTTGAAGCTCCTGCGCAAGTCCTTGGGCTCGGGTGAGCCGCATAATGAGGCGACTCTGATCACGGTGCTTGTCCTCACCACATTCGAGGTAAGACATTCAGCCAGTTTTTATGCTTCTTGCAAATGAACCCTACTGACTCGCCAGGAATCCGTCGGGGACTGGGTCAACCTCATTGGCCACCATCAGGCTGCTCACGCCTTGGTGCGGGAGATCCTAACGCCGGAGTCTGCCAACCTGAACGAGCTACATGGCAACATCTTCGTTTGGTACGCCCGATTCGACGTGGTAGCAGGGATTTTGGCCGGAAATGAGACGATCCTAAGTCGTGATTGGTATGTTGCAAAAGAGGAGTATGATGCTCAGGAAGCCGCCCGCCATCCAAACGATGCAACGAAGCAACTGGCGCTGGCGAATTCGATCAACCGCCGGTTTGGCCTGGAAATGGCGTCATTATATGCGAAGTTGTCGCGCGGTTTGATTCCAGTTAATGAGTTCATTATCCAGAACGAGTTGTTGGGGCAGACCTTGGAAAGGGTACGAACCATCCTAGAATCGTTCAACGACTCTGATTACACCGTGCGGGAGTATCCTAATCAGGTTCCCTTGACCCCGGACGACGTCGTGGATCCGTATGTTCCCGGGGGAATGCACCACGGGCCCCTGTGGGAAGTCAACATGACGTGGGTTGACTATTACTCCACCAAGGCCATGTACAAGTATCAGTCACTTCTTTCGGTCAGGCAATCATCGGTGGAAGAGTTACAATCCCTCTCGGTGGAGCTGGTCCGGCTAATGGAGGCGGTTGATCGATGGCCCATGAAGGAAAGCGGATGCATCCTGGCGTTCAAGAACAGCATCGGAATGGCCGCCATGTTCTGTCCTCGCGATGAACGGTACATTATGTGGGCGCGGAGGAAGTTCGCTCAGCTGGAGCAAAGCGGGTGAGTGTTGCAAGTCAGGGAGATGTTGGAAGTCAGCTAATTGTAGTCGATCAGATACGTTATTGCGGCCACTTTCCGGGCGGCACTGGCAGCCTCGTGGCAGAAGCCCGAAGTCAATCGCTGGTGGTTGCCAGACGACGAAGGATACCCGAGCATCATCCGTGAGGTGCGAGCGATGACGGAAGAACGCACGAGCCACCCTCGAGATAACTTCGGCGAGGATGTCAGCCATATGAAGACGCTATTTTGGAACATCAGCTTGGACGACACCTCCAGCGAGGGGAGTCCCGCGTCGGTGAACACAGAAGGCCGACCATGACAGCCTGCTGTACAACTGCAGCTGGTTGCACAACAGATGCAACATTCTTCATCTGTGCATAACGAACCGAGTATATACATACAATCACACCCAACCAAGTACAGCCCTGGATATTCCAGTAATGAATCCAACGATGATCCATACCCTCCTCCACCACCCGGTCACGCATGGTCGCCGCTACGCCTTAATGAATAATCTCTGGTTATCTGATGACCCAACCCACATTCGTTTGCTCTCTCACGGTGACATGCGTGACCGGAACGAATTTTGATACCCGGATACCAAACGAGGATTTACCTGGAGTAAGGAGATTGGATGGAAGATCTGTCTGCTTATTCACGTACCTACATACATACATACCCATTGGATCATACCCATGCGCTAGATACCCAATATACGGTCTACACACAAATATTATACAGAACAATGAACCCATCCACTATACGTATCCACTTTAAGAACCAACCCCAGAACCATCCCGATCTCTATCTAGATAATCCAACCCTCCCCGGCACCTCAACAGCAGGCACCACCGTCTCCAAACCCCCCCTCAACTCCCCAACACCATCTCCAACTCCCACCCCCATCTCCTCCCCCCACGGCAAAGCATCTACATCCACCTCCCACCCCAGCAAACACCTCAGCACCACCCCCGCCCCAGCCTTACTCATCACCTCATTCATCTCCTTACACCGCTCATCACAACAACACTCCAAACACCCCTGCGGCATCACACACCCACACGCCTCGATCCGCCTCACAGCCCTTTCCAACAACACATCCACAAACTCAAACGCCTTAGCCGCAATCCCCGACCCACAGGCTCCCCCCTTGGCATCGTAGAACGTCAATCTCGCGGGCCGCTGTCTCGCAGGGGGCTGTAGAATCTTCTGCAACTTTTCCTTCTTCTGCTTATTATCCAGCCCACCTACCCCTCCTGCCTCTTGCACAGCCATTTGTAACTTCCTCCCCAACTCCTTCTTCGCAACCTTACATTCCGTGCGCACGTCCCCGGGCGAAGATACCACGAAGGTCGGTAAGAGTGATAAGATCGCGTGCTCGGCTGCGTGTATCGCCGCTGCTATGTTTAGGTTTCTTGATTGGAGGATTTCCAGAGCTAGGGGGGGTATGTCGATCCACATGCCTTTCGTGTGGATGTCGATCGGTGGGTTGTTGTCCACCGGTACGGCGTCGAGGATACGCCCTCGTTTGTCGATTTTGAAGAAGCCGTACACCACGGCGTGGATGAGGATGGAGCCGAAGTAGGCTTTACTTACGGTGGTATGGTTACTTTTGGTATTGGTTTGTGAAGTAGAGGTTGAGTCTGAGGATGAGGTGGATGTGGGTGTGCTGGAGGAAGAAAGCAGACGGATGTTCTCCGTCTCGATGGGGTCGATATCAGTGTAATCGCGTTGCTGGGTCGTATAGTCCACATGGACACGGGAGACGCGGGCGAAGTACATCGTTGTGTTTAGTTCGTGCACGAGATACGTCTGCCCCTGGTGGAGGAAGATGCCCCCCTCGTAAATGGTGAAGAAGGCGCGGGAGGCTTCTACTTCTTCGAGGACGGCGTTGCGGGCGTTCGTAGTGTCTATGACGGCGAAGTGCTGGTCCTCGGTATCGCGGATGGCGATGGACCGGGATGGAGAGGGGAGGAAGCGCGGGTGGGTGTGGTAGAGGGAGGGGATGTATTTATCTTGGAGGAGGCGGGTTTCCAGGAGGGAAGGGAGCTGAGGACCGAAGTAGGTTTCGTCGAGGGCAAGGGAAAGGGGCTTTTCGTAAGCCGCGCACTGGAGATGCGCTTCGAGGATGAGGTCATTCGACAGGTCGATTTGTAGCTCTGTGTTTGGTTTCGTGAACAGTTCGTCCGGGTTACGCATGTAATGCTGGTCTGTGGCGTAGCGGTCACCGACGAGGATAGACAGGGAGTCCTTATTACGCCGGCCGGCGCGGCCGCTCTGTTGGCGGAGATTGGAGATGGAGTAGGGAAAGCCTAGGGTTATGACTGCGTCGAGGGAGCCGATGTCGACGCCCAGCTCTAGGGCATTGGTGGCTACGATGCCGAGGAGACGGCCCTCGAACATGTCTTTTTCGATATTGCGGCGGTCCTGCGGGCTGTAGCCGCCGCGGTAGCCCATAACCATGTTGGCGATTTCGGGACGCTCAAGGGAGGTGAGTTCGGTGCGGACGGCTTGGAGAAGGACTTCGCAGAGCTTGCGGATGCGGCAGAACGCGATGACACGGGCGCCGCGCAGGATGAGTTGGGAGAAGAGGCGGGCTGTTTCGGTGACGCTGTCGGCGCGGCCAGATGAGGGGTCGTTGGGGTCTTTGTAGGGGGTGTTCCAGCAGAGAAATTCCTTGCGGCCGGAGGGGGAGCCGTCGGAGTCAATGAGATGGATGGAGTTGGGGTCAACACCGAAGATGGCGTGCATGTGTTGGGAAGGATTAGCGACGGTGGCGGAGCAGGAGATGAATTGGACGGTGTGGTTGCCGACGGCGGCACAGATGCGGCGGAGACGACGCATGATGAAGGCGACGTGTGTGCCGAAGAGGCCGTTGTAGACGTGGAGCTCGTCAACAACGACGAATTTGAGGTTCTGGAGGAAGGTCCGCCAGGCGGCTTCTTGGGGGAGAATGGTAATGTGCAGCATGTCGGGGTTGGTGAAGATGATGCGGGCTTCGTCGCGGATGAGGTTGCGGCTGGGCATTGGAGTGTCGCCGTCGAAGGTCTCGACTAGGGTGCCTTGTAGGCCGTCCATGAATTGGAGGAGCTCTTGCATGCTGCGGCGTTGGTCTTGTGCTAGGGCTTTGGTTGGGAAGATGTATAGGCCGCGGCTGGAGGGGTCCTTTTCGAGTTCGTGCAGCATGGGGACTTGGTAGATGAGGGATTTGCCGGAGCTGGTGGAGGTGGATACGATGACGTGGTGGCCAGCTTGGAGGTGGTTGATGGCTTCTGCTTGGTGGGAGTAGAACTGTGTGATGTTTTTGGTGTTGTATAGGGCGTTCACTAGGTTCTGAGAGAGTGGGAAGGTGAGTTCGCCGTACATGGCTGGCTGGGGGTCGAAGACTCGGTGTCCTTCAGGCACGATCTGCGCTGTGTACCAGTCCATTTGGCGGATCTCCTCCACGATCTCTGACATAGATTTACGTTCTTTGGGGATTTGTTGTGGGAGAGTGGAGGGTGCAGTGATGGGGGTATCTTCCTCCGGCGGCTGAGGAATCCAGGCGTTCTTTTCAGTCTCCAGTTTCTCGACTGGGTCGACGGCTTCGTCTTCGCACTGGACGAGAAAGGCATCGATTGCATCTGTGAACTTCTTGTTTCGCTTCTCGATCAAGTCTAGCATCTGCTTCTGGCTGTATACCGGCATCTTCAGATCCTCGTTCTTCATGCGCCGCACGGGCTTGGTTGGCTCCCCAGTCTGCGGATGCCTCACTTGTCTCTTCAGATCTCCGTCCAGCAGCTCGAAGAGGAGCGTCTTTGTTGTGGGCATGCCCGCATCACCGGGTGTATCCCTTCCAAAGCCTATTTGTGCTGCTTCACGCTCTCCAGTCGTCATGACCTCCAGCTTGGCTTCATCGACATACTCGAAGCGCACCGCGCGTGGCACGAGGACTTTCACCCGCGCAACATCCTCCACTGTTAGCTCTTGACCTTGCAATTGCGCCTGCACCGCATTCTTAATGTTGTCGAATGTGGTGGCAAAGTGCTTTCGCGTGCAGCAGAAGGTATACACGAGGTTCAGGGCGCGGTGTGTCCGGGAGAGGCTCTTGAACGCCTCGGGCCATGGGGCGGACGGAGTTCGCTTCGGTTGAGCGGGTTTTCCTTTGAGAGATTTCTCTGCGGTTGAGCTGGCACTGACGCTGTTTTCCGTCTCCGGCGTCTCTACCTGTGACTTCGAAGGGGGCTGGCGGCGTTGCCTTTTCTTTGGCGCTAGGTCTGTCGACGCGCTGTTGGATATGGGGTCGGGATGCTCGGAGGCATCGTGGTTTGGATCTGGCTCATCTTGGGCTCGTTTCCGACCCAATGATATATCTTCAGTGTCTGCTTGTGCTTCCGAGTCGGCCATAACGACACCCCATTGTGGATGCAGTGGATTCGCGTTCTGATATAGTCGGAGTGAAGCAGGTTTCGGCTGCGCAGAAACGCGATGTCACGTGCAACCAATATTACCCAAAAGAGACGTCGGCCGATATAGTCATTCACTTGTAGTACACAACAAGGCTAGTCGGACATTGTTAGTCAGGAATACTGGCCGGATGGCGCAATGGTAGCGCGTTTGTTTTCGGCACAAAAGGTTGCGCGTTCGAATCGCGTTCCGGTCGGATCTTCTTTTGCTTGCGGATTGTTTTTTTGTTTTTGCTTTTGGAGGGTGGGATTAATCTCCGAAAGATAATCTTGCAATGTGAACGTCATATTGATGTGGCCATTGTTAATGTGTGACCGTTCTATTGAGTATGAATCTTTGAGATGCCACAACATCCGAGCGCATGGTTTGCTTTGCATGAGGACCAGTTATGGGCATCTGGACTGTCAATTATTCAACACGGCGACTAGCTTACTGTTTCTCTAATTAGAATCCTACAGGTGAGACAGCGAACTACGGTTCCTCGTACTGGAGCTCTGATCAAGTGTCAAGTGTCAGTTGGGCGTGTCTCTGTTTCAGTTACAGTTGGGGAATGGTTCGCGCGCTAATAATAACCCGTTTAGGGCTGTCAGGCGGCGATCATAACAGGTCTGTTATGCGGAATCCGGGGAAAAAAGGGTCCTGTTCTTGAGACCCTGAATGCTCATCACCTTCATCATCAGCCTCCTACTCGTCCATCGTCTATCCAGATAACTTGCTCTGGTCCGGCCATCCCTCAGAACCGCATCCAACCCAACCACGACGCTCCTTTGTCCCAAATATAGCATCCCAACAGCTTGTCTTCGTTTTCGCCCAAAATGTCGCTCTTGGCCAGGCGTGCCAAGGGTCTCTGCCTCCCTTGGCGTCTCAGTCCGACCCCCTGAAAAATTCCACCATTAATCCCATCATGGCTGCCTGGTCGCTTCTATCACTTCGGCTGCTTCTCCTGTCTGTCTGGTTGTACTCTCCAACATAGCTGGATGGTCATCCGTCAGTCACCCATTTCACCATGCGCAGTCACCACATAACCGCCTTCCTGCTGCTCCTGTTACACAGTCAACGGGCATATTCCGACCTGGGTATACAAGTCAACGATGCCAGTATGTCATTACCTACACCAATCCCTCAACTACATGTCCATCTCTAATCATCATGTCAACAGACTCCCTCGCAAACGCCGGCTCCACCATCGCCGATCCCTTGATGGAATTCTACAAACAGAACCAAACCGAAGGCATCCCCGGCAAGCTCACCGACACCTGGTACATTGCGGGGGCCATGTTCATGACCCTGATCCAATTCTGGAAGGCCTCAGGCGTCGACACCTACAATTCCGTCGTGCAGCATGACCTGATGTTCCAAGCCGGCGAGAACTACGACTACTTCTCCTCCAACTACAGTCAATGGCTGGTACATACCCTCCCCCCTCCAACGTCACCTGGTTCTTAGCTAGCATTTCGACTAATGACATATCTATGTCTACAGGGCAACGACGACCAAATGTTCTGGGGCCTCGCCGCCATCACCGCCTCCGAAACCGGCTTCCCCGAAGTCTCCGGCAAACCCTCATGGACGTCTCTCGCGCGCGCCGTTTTCAACATGCAAGTCAACCGCTGGGACGACACCACCTGTGACGGCGGCATGCGCTGGCAGATCTGGCCCTACCAGGCGGGATACACGATGAAGAACGCCATCTCGAACGGGGGTCTCTTCGAGCTCTCTGCCCGACTCGCCCGGTTCACCAAGAACGATACGTATGCCGAGTGGGCAGAGAAGATCTTCGACTGGTCGACGACGACACCGCTCTTGAACACGAATGCAACGATATGGAACGTGGCGGATAGTACCTCAAACGAAGCCAACTGCAAGGACGTGGGAAATAACCAATGGACTTACAATTACGGGACGTATCTGTCCGGTGCGGCGTTCATGTATAACTACGTATGTTCCTTCCCCCCGACACGTCCCTTCCGATCAGAATCCCAACTAACAAAGGAAATGAAATAGACAAATGGCTCCACCAAATGGGAAGAAAGAGTAAACAACCTCCTCACCTCCCTAACCACCAAATTCTTCCCGGAGAACTTCAACAACGGCACCGTCCTCTCCGAAGTAACCTGTGAACCGATCCTGTCCTGCGACCGCAACCAACTCGGCTTCAAGGGGTACGTGGCAATGTGGCTTGCCTTCACGGCGCTGCTCGTCCCCTCGACTCACGATCTCATCCTCCCCAAACTGCAAGGCTCCGCGGCAGCCATCTCAAAGCAGTGTTCGGGGACCGGCGACGGATTGGAGAACCTGTGCGGCGTGCGCTGGCACCAGGATACCTGGGACGGAAGTATGGGATTAGAAGTACAGATGAGTGCGTTAGGCGGAGTGACGGGGGCGTTGATGATGTTGGGGGATGGTAGTTCCGGACCGCAGACGATCGATGAGAATCCGGATGCGGCGGAACATCATATTGATACGAGTGAAGATGAGAAGGACCCGACGGCGAAGGAGAAGATTGATACGGGGGATAGAGCTGGAGCGTGGATTCTGACGGTGGTGCTGGCGGGGTTGATGTTGGGGGCTGTGGGGTGGTTGGTAAAGGCGCAGTGATTATCCCCTTCTTCTATTCTTATTCTTGTTCACTTCTTTTCTTCTGAATCATTAGGGTATATTTGATTATGGGTTTGTGTATATGGGTTATGGACATATTGATCGTTTGCCGAGGTATGTACTGCTGCTGGACAGACAGACAGACAGACAGACAGAGGATTTCAAGTCTTCTTGCATTTCTTTCCCTTCATTTTGACCACTTACTCTATCAGAGCTTCTCTTCTCACAGATATCACTTATCTCACTTATCGCAGAGCGATAGTTAGCACATATACCTCATCTACCAAATATCAATATACAGTATTTATACTTTAAAGAATGTCCCTACTACAAAGTACTACTAGTCATAGTAACACCAAGTAAACATAGATATCAAAACACCGTATGCAGGTTCAACTGTAGCAAGCAGACAGTCTAATTCGGATTTACTATCAGTAACGTACTAGAAGGATAGGCAACAAGCAAGTGATGTGAGCTATCAGCCAACATGACACATCGAATCGACAAGTAGCAAGCACTAAATGACTCGTACCTGCTGCCTTAAATGCATACACGCGCATGCATGTAAGCAGACATCCCACCTGATCAACTCTGCATGATAGCATCTCATCTGATCTGATCGCGATAAGATTAGCTGCTAACTAGCTTACTTCCTTGGTTTAGTAAGTAGCTTCTTGTGAAATGTCGATCAAGAACTAGGTAGGCTAGATCAGTCTATACGGTGGGTCTACTCTGTACCTATCCTATCTACTTCTACTCTCTCTACCAGCGTCATCTTCAAATACAGCATACAGCATACAACTTGGTACTTAATAAATACCTCCTAAACCAAAGAAAACATACACGAAGAGAATGTGTGTATACTAAAAAAAAAGTAAATGAAATAAACAAAAGAAAGTAAAAGTAAAGTCAAATAAATAGGTGATGGTAATTCCCCAATCCACGCAAGACAAGACAACCCCGGTTCTTGACTCCTCGGCCCAAATGCAAAATGCCAACCCACTCGGTTAATTTTCTTTCCTATGTAGATAATGTAGTAGTTCCTAGATTCCAGTCCAATAATAGGGACTAGCACTGGTTGTATTGGTGGCGGTGGTGGTAGTCGTAGTAAATTACTGTCGCTTTTTGAAGGTATCCAATAGACACATTTGTGTGTGCTGCAACTATTGCATGATCACTGGTATTCCTGGAGGTCGCGAACAACGCGGTATAGCTCTTTGGCGAGGTCTTCACTTCCGGTCTACGGGCGTCAGTCTTACGTAGATATAGAAGCAGAAAAGGGGATACTTACTCTGAGCAAGATCGGAACGGAGCGGCCATTCTCCAAACTGGCTAGGTTGATCTGCTTCGACTTGGGCTCCTTGCCCTGTCCATCACCAACCGTCATTCCCTTGAAGATGGGCGTGTTCAACATCACGCGCAGCACGCCGTCTGCGCGCATGATCATGCGAGCTGCCTTCTTGTCCTCTACTCCGTCCGTGACGCGGACGTTGACCTTGAAGGTCCCAATGCCGCGCTCTCTCCACTCTTTGTTCGTGAAATGGAACAGCTTGGCTTTACATGAGAAGTATGTCTTCTCGTTTTCCTCGCCAGTCTCGACTGCGCCTTCGTTAGCTTAGCCGAATGAATCGACGACTGGTAGACCACTTACTCGGACGTTCGTAGAATCTCTCGTCCGTCTTATCTTGCTCGAACTCTCCCGGGCCGCTGTCACCCGCTTGTTCTTCGTCGTCCTCCTTTTCTTCCTCCTCTTCAGGGGCCCCGAAAGCAGACGTCTTGGAGCCGCCTAGAACGCTGGGAGCACTAGGGGAAGCAAAGCTCGTAAGTCCACCCGCGGGCTTGGCCGCCGCAAAGCCACCGCTGAACCCGGAGAAACCAGACCCCAGTGCAGCGAATCCCGATGTACCGGCTGCAGAAGCAAATCCAGTAGCAGCTGGCTGAGGAGAGTCCGTCGATGCCGGAGATTTGAAGACAGAGGGTGTGGAGCTTCCGAGGGAGCCAAAGGGTGATTGTTCGGAACTGGCGAACGCAGCCAGACTTGACGCAGCAAAAGCAGATGATGATGTGGCAGCAGCAGGTTTCGATGCCTCCTCTTCCTTGGCCTTCGCACCGATTGACCCGAATGGCGAAACCGACGATGTGTTCGCAAATGCACTGGTAATGGGAGCCTGTCGAGCGCCGCAGCGCATCAGTTTCTGTACTCAGCCATACCATACCTTGATGACACTTACCGATTCCTTCTCTCGCGCATCATCCGTGTGTCTCTTCTTCTCGGGCTGTCCTTCCACTTCAGACTTCTCCGTCGACGTCTCCTCCGCGGCGTTCTGGTCTGCTTTCTCGCCCGAAGCACCGACCGTCGACTCATCCTTATCCAACTGATCTCTGCTTCTCTTCTTCTTCGGAACCGCAATATCCCGTGTCACTTCCTCCCCCTTCTGTGGCTGCGATGGAATTTCCACATCTACATCCGCATTCGCATTCTCCTCCTCGCTGTTCGAGTCGCGCGACCGCTTGCGACGGTGGCCTGCATCGTCTTCGTTCTTCTCGGGCTCATCCTCGTCGAATGATCGCTTCCTGCCTCTGCTGCTGGCCCTGCTGGAACTTCCTTCCTGCGCACTGCCAGTCATGTTGGCGTCGCTGTCCGTCGAAGCCTTGGGTGCCGAGGTAATCGAGGTCTCTTTTAACTTGTGGCGGACGGGGCGCTCACCGCCGTCGTTGTCGGATGCTTGCGAGTCGTCTGCAGCTGTAGGAGTAGTCAGCGGTTAGCTATCAGCACAGCACACACATGACTCGCAAAACCAAAGATAACGTAACATACCTTGACGCTCCAGCACTTCCTTCTTCGTCTCGTCCACTATCCCCACTGGTCAGTACAATCTGCTCGTCTAGGACCCTCCGCGACCGCAAATGACGAAAAATTCAGATCAAGAGGTAAATGATATGTACCTTCAACCCCACCATTCCGCTCAGGATCCGCAGCCATGGTAATATGAATGGGACAAATTCACAACGCTTGCCGATGATAATGATGTATCCGCGATACGACCGAAAAGGGAAAACGGAGCAAGAAAACTGTGCGTGTTCACGGCGAGGACATGCGTTCTAGGCAAGCGATAAAGCAAAAGAACCGAGTCGAGTGTATCCGATAACTGAACTCTGTAGCATGACGTAAACAGACGAGGTTAGCCCATTGAAGCGAGCGTAAGCAGCTGCATAGGGAGGCAAGCTCTCTCGCGATAGAAGAAAGACAGATCAGGTTGGTTGAGTGGCCGGCCCGCGGACGCAATGCGAGGTTGCTTGCAGGACCATGCGATGTGCTCAGAGGGGGAGGGGTGATCCAGAAGATCTACTGGGGACAGTACGAACAGAGATAAATAGATATCGTACACGTTGAATGGGAGTCAGTCTGGTCGGACGAGCCCGCACTGATAGATAGCTAGCAATCAAGCAAGCAATCAAGCACTGAGGCTGAGGGGAACGTCAGAGTCGGACGGAGGAACGGGGGGGTCGGGCAGGACGAACTGCAGAGAGAGTCTGGACAGAGGGAACAGATAGGTATCTGTATCGTAGATCCTTCTGTCTTCCTTTTTTGCGTTTTCGCAAGGGAAAAGAGGGGATTAGAAAGGTGAGGGCGGCGTTTGGGGAACCCACGAAGTCGGAGGAACAGACGCAAGCGGGTGACGGAGTGCTTTGTTGTCTCGCTCGGGCGGACAAGCTCGGTTTGCTGGTCGCTCCGGTCACCGCTCGCTCTCCACCCCGCAGCTACAAAGTACAATCATATGGGATAGATATTGGAACAGTGTTCTATTGCTCTGAACATACAAATCGCAAATGGGAAATCATCCGGAATTGATACAACATAGAAATCCACGCTGACTGACTGACTGACTCCTCCGTCATCATCCTCATCTTGTACCTCCAGCTTGTCTCAAGCCACACCCTCACCCACCGATACCATGCCTACGACATCGGCCCCTTCCCATCAATCCATTCTAACTGATAAAGCAGAGACACCCGATCGCAATATAAAACACGAACAGCGGGTATACCGCAATGCCGACCCGGTTGCGCAACACGCCCGAACCACCCAGGATACTCACGCCCGCCGCCAGCGACCACGCAATCAGCACGAGATACACCGGTATGCGCGCAATAGTCGGAAGGCCAAAGGCACTCAATAGAGAGGCAATGACCAGAGGGAAGAGCGTGTATCCGATAATACAAACCGACTGGAAGAACGAGCTATCGGAAGAAAACATTAGCAATTGCCCTTCATCTACCAATCTGGGTAAAGAACATACATATTCCCACCAAGCAACTTAATCTGCAACGTCACGACCGCCTCCCCAATCCACACGATGGAGAAAACGCCCGAGAACACCAGCGACGACTGCTCATCCTTGGCGCGCATCGACAAGAACATACTCAGCAGGAGGCAGAAGATCAAGGGACCCCTAGAAGCACCCGTTAGCACATCCCACACACCCAACAGTAGATGTAAAAGAAACTCACCAAAGATCCCAATCTCTCAACCCCTCACTCATCCCACCCTGCAACACAACATCGGCATCCGGCCAGCGTCCTACCATGTTCCTCAATCCACCCCCAAAGCCCGTAGCCTCACCTCTCTCCGCGGCACCAATTCCACCCCCACCGCGCTGCAACATGCCCCCAATGAGATACTTAGGCCACAACACCTGGCGCATCTTCTCCCAGACGACCCGCAAGTCGCGCGACAGCGTCTCCCATACCGTCTCGTCGATGGTGCTCTGTGTCGCGCGGCGGTCTTCGCCGCCGATCGTGGACGTCAGGTAATTGCTGGAGAAATTGCTTCCGCCGCCGCGAGCGGAGCTCGAGGCTTCGGGCTGGATGTTTCCACGGAGGGGGGCGGTATCGGAGGTGTCATGGAGGGGGTCGTCGGCTTCGATGGCTGGGATTTTAGACACATCATGTTAGTAAAAGATGTATGTATAGGTACATGGGGTATGGGATGAATCGGAAACAAAGGGAAGGTAGCTAGCTAGCTAGGTAGGTAGGTAGGTAGTTCACATACCGTCATCAGCTTCAATCACATCGTCGTCGAGGATCGATTCATCGTCGCGGATGTCCCCGTGGGTGTAGTGTGGTTGTACGCTGGCCATGGTGTTTGTCCTCTGGGTGGTTTCGTTGGTTGGGTTTGGGTGTCGCGGAAGTAGTACTGATAGGTCACTGGGACATTGCCCGCTCCGGCTGACGTGGACTGCTTAGTGGATTGCACTGGGCTGGACAGACCGGCTGTACCCAGAGAATATAGGATGGTAATCGCAAAGCGAGGTAAGGTACGAGGAACTTAGCAATGGAACTCGGATTTGGAGAAAGCTGGGCTGGCACGAGCAGAGCAGCCCGTGTCGGAGAGGCTAGAGTGGCATTCCTTACGTACGCAAGCACGGGCTGAATCCGGCAGGCGGAAGAGCCCATCTGAAACATCAATTAACTGTCGATCGACACATCTATAACTAAATAATGGATTGTTTTAAATGAATATATGCCCAAAAGATGATGAGTACTATGTTCATGTTCCAAGAGTATTATACATATAGTCCTCCCCTTCAAAATGTGCTATGATACATCGACTTTTCTATAACGCCCGATTATGCTATACTTTGTACTGAATAAGAGTGGAGACCACGCAACATGGCGTTAGATAGATCCACTTGGATGAAGCAAAAGGATCCGAATGGCCCTCGGCTGATAGGACTGGACTGGATCAATAAGTAGGAACTCATGGGCTGGGTAATTCTCGCTCTGCGAATCTGTTCATTTGCTCCTCGGTCGCTCCGACCAAGGTTTTCCGGAACTTCGTGATAATGCTCTTGTCGGAGTATTTCTTCAGAAGCTCGGCGTGGCGCTGGACCTCTTTGAAGGTCTCCTGGGGAACATGTTGCTTGAATTCTTTGACCGAGTCAAATAATCTTCGTGTCATAGTAAGTGCCTTGAGGGCATCTTCTCCTCTAATCACAGCCGCCGGATTGGTCTTGGCCACCCGGGCCAGGTAGGATTGTCGAGACTTCTGCCCCAATAGTTCACTGGACACGGCTTCATCGAGGTCCCGAATCAGGGTACAGAGCCGTTCTGCGGCGGATGTGATTAGGCTGGCCTTCAGTTTCACGCCTAGGGCGCTGAGATTGTTTGATTTGGCGTCTGCTCCCGACTCAAGGCCAGCGAGGGACATCAGTAGATCTGGACTATCCTCCAGCGAATGGACCAAGTCGAGATATTGAGTTATGGATCGAGCATCGGGAAGCACGATGCCGTTGGCCATGAGATCCAGAAGCTCGTTGGCGTGTCTGAACACATTGGGGTTTCTGCGGTCCCGAGTACATGAGGCCATGGATATGCGGAAGGTCTTTCCTTCGGTAGGTCCGTTGGGGTCCCGAGTCATATCGCGTACCACTTCCACGGTTTCACGACTAGCCCGCGCAGCACGTAGAATGCGTAGGTATGCGTGATAGCTAACCGCGTCAGGTACGACCTTATGCGAGTCATCTCCTTTCGTAAGGTACCGCCAGTATTCCTTTGCAGCGGCTGTTCCTTGTGTTATCGACAGGCAGGCTTTGAGAAGCATAGTGAGCTCCCTGTTTCCCACCTCAATATACGAGGGGAGGGCCGCTTCATCTTTCACAGAGAGCCTTGTCTTCGCAGGCG